TGTGTGTGTGTGTGTGTGTGATTTAATGGAGTTTTCTTGTCCTCTGTAACTGTACTCCTGCAAACACACACAGCTGAGGATGGTTTGCTGACTAATTCCAGCCACTTCCTGTGTCCATGATCTGAGCTCTGACTCACGGCTACTGTAAGAGAAAGACAGGAGACTCAATTAAGGGAAACTCTGTGTGTGAAGTGAAAGGGACAGCAGACAGAACAGGGTTAAAGGTCATTAGAAAACGTGTTTTCTCACACAGTTAAAAGATTTCAGTAGGTTTTTTACTTCTTTCCGTGAACAGTTTAACAGTGAATGTTTTTCCAAGGGGAAAAATGTTTGTTTTTAAGGGAGTTGTGGTATGAATGTGCTTGATAGTTGTGAAAATAATGTCACACTCACAATGCAAAAATTGTTTTATTGTCTATATATGCAAAATATATTGATTTTATTTTATTATTTATTTTATTGTATTTTATTTACAGGTAGAAATGATAATTTGAACAAGGTGAAGAAAAGGCTTAGAAATTACATTGTTTGTTTGCAAAAAAGGCTAGTATGAAATAAAATTAATTCATTCATTCATTCATTCATGTTTAGGTAGCAATTAGCTTTTGCAAAATGTTTGATAATGATACGAAAGGCTTGGAAATTAATGTATTAATTTAAATTAATTTATTATTTATTTATTATATTTATACAATTTATTATTATTTTATTTATTTATTTATCTATGTTTTATTTATTTTATTTTTTAGGCAGAAACTACCTTTTTCAAACGATTGAGAATGATATGAATATCAATAATATTTCTATATATTTATTTATTTTTATTTTATTTTAGAAATTACCTTTAGCAAAGGTTTGAGAATCATACAAACACTTAAAAATGAACTAATGCAAAACATTTCATTTATTTATTCATTTATTTATTTAACTTTATTTTTTTTAGGTAGAAATGACCTTTTGCAAAAGATTAAGAATCATTACTTCATGTGAAATATGTTTTTTTTTAATTTTATTTTATTTTTTTATTTTTAGATGGACCTTTTGCAAAATGTTTAGAATCATTACTTCATGCAAAATATTTTTATTTTATTTTGTTTTGTTTATTTGTTTATTTTGCAGAATGTTGAGAATGATGTGAAAGGCATAGAAATGACCCTGCCTATGCAAAATATTATTTTTTATTTATTTATTCATTATTTTTTTATTTTTAGGTGGAAATTATTATTTGCAAAAGGTTGAGAATGATATGAAAGGCTTAGAAGTTACCTTATGCTAAATATTTTTATTTATTTAAGTGGAAATGACGTGGACATTTGATTGATTGATTATTGGCCTGTCACTTACAGTTTGTCATTTCTCGGTTCTCTCTGTTTCTCAGGTAAACTGTCATGATTCCCATCACTGAGTTGCGATACTTTGCTGATACACAGCCGGCGTATCGGATTCTGAAACCATGGTGGGACGTGTTCACAGACTACATCTCCATCGTCATGCTGATGATCGCGGTGTTCGGTGGCACGCTGCAGGTCACGCAGGACAAAATGATTTGCCTGCCGTGCAAATGGGTCGTCAACCAGACCTGCGAACAACTCAACGTCAGCGTGCCGCTCAATGCCGAGCCCAAGGGCATCCAGTACGACCTCGACAGACACCAGTACAACTACGTGGACGCCGTGTGTTACGAGAACAAGCTGCACTGGTTCGCAAAGTACTTCCCGTATCTGGTGGAGCATTTCGTGTCGATCCTGCTGAAGTGTTTCGACTCGCCGTGGACGACGCGGGCGCTTTCTGAGACGGTGGTGGAGGAGAGCGACCCGAAGCCGGCGGGGAAGATGAACGGCTCGATGGATAAGAAAATCTCCAGCGTCAGCGACCAGGATGTGGAGGCAAGCGTTCCCATGCTGCAGAGGACCAAGTCCCGCATCGAGCAGGGCATCGTGGACCGTTCAGAGACGGGCGTCCTGGATAAGAAGGAAGGAGAGCAGGCCAAAGCGCTGTTTGAGAAGGTGTGTGCGGATGATTTATTTAAGAGTTGCTCTCAGGTCACAAGCGGGACGTCTGGTGAACAGCGCTGTGTTCCAAAACCTAGTGAGCTGCCTCTGTAGTGAGCGTTTCAAGGCATCGTAGGTGCACTTTTTAAAATGTATTCCTCCAAAATGCCTTCTTTTGGCTAAATTCAAAGGCAGCATTAGTGTAGAGTGCAATCACAGATTTGCATTGTGATTAAATATGCTTAAATATGAATGTATTTATAATTTGTACATTAATACTTCATATACTAATTAATAAAATATACCGATTTCAACCAATTCTGAAATATTGATCGATCATATTATGTAAATATTTATACAAAAATGTAATAAATATATTTCAAATGTACTTACATGTTTACTACATATGCTAATAAATAAATTGGTTATTTCAGCCAGTGCTAAAAAGTATTGATAAATATTATTACATAGATAATTATATATAAATATATATTTAGAATGTGTACTTATTCATATACTAATTTATACTTATACATAATTCATATAATATATCAAATTATAATTAAAAAGTATTGATAAATATTATACATAAATATGTATGTATTAATATATATTTAATAAATATATTTATGATTTATACTTCATATTTCAGTATTTCAGCCAATGCAGGAAATTATCGATAAATATTATTACATAAATATTTATAAATTAATATGTTTAATAAATATATTTATAATTTATAATTACTATATTTTGTTTATTAGTATATTATTTAGCCTATACTGAAAAGTATTAATAACACAAACACATTTACTTAATATAATAATAAATAATATATTATCTAATAAATACATATTTATATACTACTATATATTTAATAAATATATTTATACATTAATGCTTACTTCATATAAATATAAAAATAGTCATTTTGTCCAATGCTGAAAAATTGTTGGAAATATTAAATATAAATTCATATATTCATATATTTAATAAATGTTTATACATTTTTGCTCACTTTATTTACTAATAAATAAAATAAAGTTATTTGATCCAATGCTGAAAAATATTTGTTATTATTAAATATAATTTTATATATTAATATTTATATATGTATATATATATATTTATCATCTTAAAAGTATAATTATTTCATATACTACTAAATAAAACATAGTTATTGATAGATATTTAATTTTATTTGTGTCACGACTCACATTGTTAACATTTCAGTTAGGATGCCTTTGAAGGATGCTGTCTATGTAGGTAGTCCGCTAGGTTTTGGAACGGAGCCCAAATATTCTGAATATATGGTCTCATCTCATCCTTCTCTCTTTTCAGGTGAAGAAGTTCCGTATCCACGTGGAGGAGGGCGACATCGTTCACCGTCTTTACATCCGCCAAATCATCATCAAAGTCATCCAGTTCCTCATCATCATCTGCTACACCATGTACTACGTCCACCACATCAAGTTCAGCGTGCCGTGCACCGTGGACATCGAGCGGCTGACCGGTTATCGCACGTACCACTGCGCCCATCCTCTGGCCACGCTCTTTAAGATCCTGGCCTGCTTCTACATCAGCCTGGTGGTGGTTTACGGTCTCATCTGCATGTACACGCTGTACTGGATCATCAGCCGCTCGCTAAAGCGCTACTCCTTCGAGTACATCCGCGAGGAGAGCAGCTACAGCGACATCCCCGACGTCAAGAACGACTTCGCCTTCATGCTGCACATGATCGATCAGTACGACCCGCTGTACTCCAAGCGCTTCGCCGTCTTCCTGTCAGAGGTCAGCGAGAACAAACTGCGACAGTTGAACCTGAATAACGAATGGACTCTGGAGAAACTCAGACAGAGGATAACCAAAAACTCGCAGGAGAAGCTGGAGCTGCACCTCTTCATGCTGAGCGGCATCCCGGACACAGTGTTTGACCTGGTCGAGCTGGAGGTGTGTGGGTTTTGCGTGCTTGAAAGTTTGTAGATATAAAACTCCTACCAATTGCATATTTACAGTTCAAGTCACACGTTTCAGGTCATGCTTATAGGCCTGCTGAAAGAAGCCTGTTCCCTACTAAACTTCCACATGAGCAGGGCTGCACAGTTAATCAAAATACCAAATCATGATATGGCTTAGTGGAATTATAAAATCTCAAAGGTTGCATTCTTCTGCTGAACACAAACAAAGATATTTTGAAGATTATTGGCAAATAAACAGTTTTGGTTCCATTGACTTCCATTGTATGGACAAAAAATACAATGTGAGTCAGCGGGAACCGACACTATTTGATTACCAACATTCTTCAAAATACCTTCTTTCATGTTTCACAGAAGAAAGAAACTCATAACCCTGCGGCTTTCCGCCAAAACAAAAGCTTGATTGTTTAATGGTGGAAAATGAAGAAATTAAGACTGCCATAAATAGTAGTATTGTAATTTAACCTATTTACTGTAATCTAAAGTAATTATATTAAATTTTTGATTAGTAATATGCATTGCTAAGTACCAGTGCTGATCCTAGACTTCTTGGGGCTCTACGTAAAACTGTGTCGGCGGCGGGGGGATGAATGAATGAACGAATGAATGAAACGCATTTGTCTGTGTTTCACTCTTTCTCGTATCGCGCTCGCGGAAAGCGCATGAGAAACAGTGTCTCTTCCGCGGCTCGGTACGCTTTCAACTCATTTTTTTAGCCTTGAGCAATACTGTACGACATTCACATTTCAATATTTGACTGATTTTTACATAGAAAGCGACAGCGACAGCGCACCGCATTAAAAGAAATTATCATTTATGTTTTCATAACCGCTGGCCAAATTCAAAAACGAAACTAAAATTAAATCATCTTTGAGAGCAGTGGGGCCCCCTGGTGTTTCGAAGGCCCTACGCAGCTTGCGTATTTTGCGTATAGGGAGAATCGGCTCTGCTAAGGAATTAATTTGGACAACTTTAAAGGCACTTTAAAACTTTTAAAACGTTAAATGCTTTTTTTTTTCACCCTCAGATTCCAGATTTTCAAATAGTTGTATCTCCGCCAAATATTGCCCTATCCTAACAAAACCATACATCAATGGTTGATGTATAAATCTCAATTTCGAAAAATGGACTCTAATGACTGGTTTTGTGGTCCAGGGTCACATTTGTAAAACTCCTACAGAATGCATATTTAAAGGGTTAGTTCACCCAAAAATTAAAATGTTTTACTCGCCCTCAAAGCATCCTAGGTGTATATGACTTTCTTCTTTCAGACGAATCCAATCGGAGTTATATTAAAAATTATCCTGGCTCTTCCAAGTGTTAGAATGGGAGTAAGGGGGTGTTTTTGTTCAACAGTCCAAAAGTAGTCAAATAAAGCGCATCCTTCCATAATAAAACGTGCCTCACACGGCTCCGGGGGGTGAATAAAGGCCTCCTATAGCGAATCCATGCGTTTTTGTACGAAAAATATCTATATTTACAATGTTATAAACAATTTTTTCTCACTTCCAGGTATTGTCGTACGTGCAAGCCGTTCAGGTGGAAGACGTAGGACTTATGCACGCGCGCCTCTGAGATATGCTAGTCTCGCGAGTTTGTTTACAGGAGCAAAGGAAGCAATGTTTCCTTACTTTAGCAAGGGAAAGCCAGCCTCCTCTGGGCTTATATCGAAATCCTCCAACATTTTTCTTTACAAATCCTCGTTTTGTGCTTCTAATTTGTGACCAGCATTTTGTTTTGCAGCTCTCCGCACTTCCGCGTTCGTCACTAATCACCGCCGCATGCGCTATGCATACGTCCTGCGTCATCCGCCGGAACGGCTTCCACCTACAACAGTTAGCAGAAGTGAAAGAAAGGTGTTTATAACGTTTTAAATACGGATATTTTTCTTACAAAAACGCATGGATTCGCTACAGGAGGCCTTTATTCACCCCCCGGAGCCGTGTGAGGCACGTTTTATTATGGATGGATGTGCTTTATTTGACTACTTTTGGACTGCTGAACAAAACCACCCGCCCACTGCCATTATAAAGCTTGGAAGAGAAAGGACCATTTTTAATATAACTCCGATTGGATTCGTCTGAAAGAAGAAAGTCATGTACACCTAGGATGCCTTGAGGGTGAGTAAAACACAGGCAAATTTTCATCTTTGGGTGAAGTATCCCTTTAAAGTCAGACGTTTCAGGTCGTGCTTATAGGCCTGTTCAAGACCTGCTTAAAGTAGCCTGTTCTCTGCTAAACTTCCACATGAGCAGGGCTGCACAGTTAATCAAAATTACACTGAAACCGCAATATGTTGTGCAGTTATAACATGGCAAAGACTGCTTTGTATCTTCTGTTGAATACAAAAGAAGATATTTTGAAGAATGTTGGAAATCTGTTTCGGTTCCCGAACATCACTTTGACAAAAAAATACAATGTAAGACAATGGGAGCCTAAGCTGTTTGGTTAATGTCTTCCTTTATGTTTCACAGAAGAAATAATCTCATAACTCTGCAGCTTTCCACCAAAATAAAAGCTTGATGGTTTAACGTTGTGAAATGAAGAAATAAAGACTGCCATAAATAATAGTATTGTAATTTAACCAGTTTACCATAATTTAAAACATTAATAATATTTCTTATTTTGTTTAACATTTGTATTTAACAGTAATAATAATATATGATTATTATTGTTTTAATTAATACATTTATTTAAATTATTAAAAATGATTATTTTATAGTCATATTGATATAATCACCAAATGTTTGGTCAGATTATACAGCCCTAAAAACAATTAATTTAAATAAATTAAATATTTTAAAATAATTATAATAATACTACTAATATTTTGTAAACATTTTTAATTATTTAATTTATTTAAATTATGGTTTTATAGTCATATTGAGGAATTCACAAACTGATTGACCAAATTATGCAGCCCTATGAATCATTTATTTAAATAAGTAATTTAAAATATTATTATTATTATTATTATTATTATAAATTATTTATTAAATAAAATTATTTGTAGGGCTGTATAATTTGGCCAAAAAAAAAAAAAGTCATAGTTCAGTTTCTTCCCCAAAGCATGAGTCCAGTTCAGCTTCCCCTTAAGTAACCGCTCGCGTGCAGTAAGATTACTCTGTAAGATCACGTTTTACTTTTCACAGCTGCTTAGGAGGACGTTAGAGCCGTTTCCTCACACATGGCTTGCTTTCTTTTCTTTCAGGTTTTTAATTCTTAAAGGCAAAGTGTGTAATTTCTGTGCCACTGATGTCACCGAATGGAATTGCAAAAATAATGAGGTTTCTGGAATAATATCCTCTATATGCTATTGGTCAAAAAAAGATAGCCCCGCCCCAGTCGCACACCACTGGTTGCTTTAACTGCAGGTAAATGTATTCTCGGTGTTTCCTGCAGGTGCTGAAATTGGAGCTGATCCCTGATGTTACGATCCCGCCCATAATCGCACAGCTGTGTAACCTGAGGGAGATGTGGCTTTACCACACGCCGGCCAAAATCGAGGCTCCTGCTCTGGCCTTCCTCCGTGAGAACCTCAAATCACTACACATAAAGTTCACAGACATTAAGGAGATCCCACTGTGGATCTACAGCCTCAAGAACCTCAGCGAGCTTCATCTGACCGGAATCCTCAGCGCGGATAACAACCGATTCATCGTCATCGACGGCCTGCGGGAGCTCAAGAGGCTCAAGGTCCTGCGGCTGAAGAGCAACCTCACTAAACTGCCTCAGGTGAGATGATGTTACTCTCACAAATTCATCAGCGCATTCAGAAAGGCATGATGTCAAAATTATTTGCATTCTTATTACATGTTCCTACTCTTGTTGGGCTTGGTTTATCAGTGCACATTATTATGAAGACAACATTTTTTTTTTATTGAAGTCTTGTAGCAAAAAAAAAAAAAGAGTTGTATAATTATATAAATAATATATGCATAATTTAAATGGTTTGTAATTTAAATAATGTAGAAATATACTGTTAATATAAATATATCAATAATATAGTATTGTTTAAATATTTTTTATAAAATAATCGTTTTATCTTTTGGTATTCAAAAAATCTTTATAATATTATGTGTGTAATAGAAAAGAAATTGATATATATAGGATATAATATAAAAAAAATTATAGAAACTAAACAAATTTGGTAACACTTTATTTTAAGGTGTCCTCATTACACATGTTACATGTACTTAACAACAATTAATTATGCATAATTGCATGCAAGTAACCCTAAGACAAACCCTAATCCTATCCCTAACCATATAGTAAGTACATGTAGTTAATTAATATTACTCAGTACTTAAATGTATAATTACACTGTAACAATGACACCTTAAAATAAAGTGTAACCAAAATTTTATTAACAATTTAATTATGATATAATATATTCAGCATTTTGGTCATTTTTATAATAAATTTTTTTATAATAAAATATTGTATACAAAATATTTCATTTATATAATTATATAGCTTAAAATATTTATATAAATTAAATATGAAAATTAAAATGAACATTTAATAATAGTATTGATATTATATATACAGTATTTTTATAATATTTGTAATAAGATATTGTACACAAGGTATAATTTATATAATTATATAACTTAAAATATGTATATAATTTCATGAATTTATATAATTAAACTTAATATAATAAATATAATATTATATAATGTTTATAATAAAAATAGTATATATAATAAATTATAGGCTATAGATAATTATATATTAATGTATATTATTTATATTACATATAATAAATTGTTCTTTCCTTCAGAGATAATCTGATATATTTACCAATAGTAAAAATAGCTTCTGTATTTATGCATTGTGTTATGATAGGTAGGTATTAGGGCTGTCAAAATGGCTGAAAATGTAAATTCAAATTTTTTACTTAAATATTATCAATATTCGAATTATATTCGAATTTAAAAGGCATAATTTCATTTATATAATTATATAACTTAAAATATGTATATAATTTCATGAATTTATATAATTAAACTTAATATAATAAATATAATATTATATAATGTTTATAATAAAAATAGTATATATAATAAATTATAGGCTATAGATAATTATATATTAATGTATATTATTTATATTACATATAATAAATTGTTCTTTCCTTCAGAGATAATCTGATATATTTACCAATAGTAAAAATAGCTTCTGTATTTATGCATTGTGTTATGATAGGTAGGTAGGGATGGGGAAAAGCCGCCATAAAGTCTTGAGACATGTTTTTAAAAAGTTGAACTTACATTACTTTTACATGGCTTTCTAAACATGCGGCTCCCTTGTGCGAGACACGAGTGCAATGGTGATAGATGTCCCTCTAGAAAATGTGATAAACGTGTTCTGTGTGAACGGTTTGGTTTCGGTTTTGACGTAAACAACATCATCTCCGCATTGATGTTCTTTTTTCCCCGCAATATTTTGAATGAACAACGTAGCAGCGCCGCATCTAGTGGGTTCAACTGGATAGGCTAACAAAAGCATTAAATGCAATGACACTTACATCATCATCGCATCTCGTGCACCACTGATAAGGCTGCCTGATGCACACCTAAAATTCGAATGCAACGTTTTTGCATTCGAATGTGGATTTTATTTTAAATTCGACGAATTTTAGAAATTCGAATTTTTTTTTTAATTTTTTTTTTACAGCCCTAGTAGGTATGCAGGTGTGTTATGCTTGTTGTAGGTATTTTTGTAAATATTCAGAACAACATGTTGCAAAAATCTATTTATATGTAATTTACTACATAAAAAAGTGGAGATAGAAGACCGATAGGGAAATTCTATTAATCATCCTAATGTTCTTACCTCTGGTGCTGTTTGTAATCTAACAGCTGAATATATTCACACAGAATTGTGTTTTATAACTCCTTTAGGACAAAATAATGATTCCAGCACATCTTCTTCCCCCTGCAGGTGGTGACGGAAGTTGGCGTTCACTTGCAGAAGCTCTCCATCAATAACGAAGGGACCAAACTGATGGTTCTGAACAGTCTGAAGAAGATGGTGAACCTGACGGAGCTGGAGCTGCTGCGCTGTGATCTAGAGCGGATCCCGCACTCCATATTCAGCCTGCACAATCTACAGGTCATCAGTCATCCTTCATGACTCTGCATAATACCTGTGCTTGTGCCAGAATGGATTTTCCATACATTATGGAAAGTTTCATTTGAATTTTTAAACTCGACATCATAAAATTAGGTAATATTTGGGCCTTTTTTGCTGTTATTTTAAAAGATGCAATAATTTACAATAGGGATGTAATGGTACACAAACATGACGGTTCGGTTTTGACGTCACGGTTCGGTATGGTTTCGTTGTAGCAGGAGGAAATAAACTAAGCATAAATTGCTTTTTTTTAATTAAACAATGTTTTACTGAACAAATTGCTTTTTCTTTAAATAAATTAAATTATAATTAAAATTTTCTTTACATCTACCTTATAAAATAAAATGTAAAAAAATCTACCTCAGCTTCTGCTATAAACTACAGGGAGCCCTTTTACATTACTATAAGGTTACAATTAACAAGTGCCCAAACTCAAATTTAATTACTGTTTATTTTTAACTATAATAATCAACACTCAAATAAAAAAATTGTATGCAAACATGTAAATTGCACTCGGTGCAGTTTTTAAATTAACTTCTAAATTATACAATTTATATTTGTTGTTGAAATATAATAATTTACACTGTTGCTGTCATAAGATTTATTTAAATATACATTAAATGATTAAGACATCACTAACAGGTCAAGTAATATATAATGAGTATATAGCCTAGTCTAATATTTCGCAAAATAACGAGCTGTGGACAGTGATGACTTGCCTGAGGTAAATGAAATGCTACGTGACATTTTGATTACAAGCCGTTTTAATCGCATCTTTCCACAAGTGAAACACTGATTGTGCGATTATATGAGGCACGAGATGTTAATTCACGTTAAATAAAACTAGTAAAGAGGAAGGGATGATCGCACTCACTTGAGTTTATACAGCGATCTGTCGCGCCACATCAAAGAGTGCCAAAACGGCATTTATTGTCTAAATTTCCTGGAAAAATTTAATGATTTGTTCGGTACACGTGCGTACCGAAACGAAAGACCCATACCGAAAATATTCGGTACGAATACGTGTACCGTTACACTAGGGCTGCACGATTATGACAAAAATCATAATTGTCGATTATTCCGTTGAAATTGTAATTGCGATTATTAATTACGATTATCACAATTTACATTGAATGATGTTTATACCATTGTTTGATGCAACTGCATGCCGTATTTTTATATGAAAATAAACAAGCTGAAAACACTCTAACTGAAAAACCTTTAGTGCTTTTCTATAGTACTAAGCCTCAAATGTCAACTATACATCGGATTGGTTTCTTATTTAAATGATAAAAAAAGTAAAAATATGAATGGTATTATAATGTTATACTAAAACTAAAACAATGGAAAAACCCTTAAGATAACATGTAGAAAGAAAAAAATATCTTAAGCACGCAGAATAACATTAGTGGACTTTGAACGATTAATTGCCGCTTTGAACGATTACGTAATTGTGGCATTCATAATTGTAATCGCGATTAGAAATTCGATTAATTGTGCAGCCCTACATTTACACCCCTAAATTGCAATGTATATGCATGTAAAACCAGATTATTGAGTGTCTTAAACTTGCTGCGTTGTATAAATGCTGTACATTTCTTACCACAGGTATTTTCATGCTCGAACAAGCTCTGTTCACTTATTCTGACATGCACATCAACTTCTGTCTGCAGGAGATCGATCTGAAAGACAACAACTTGAAGACCATCGAGGAGATCATCAGCTTCCAGCATCTCCACAGACTGGTGTGCCTCAAGCTCTGGTACAACCAGATCGCCTACATCCCCATCCAGATCGGCACCCTCACCAACCTGGAGCGCCTCTACCTGAACAGGAACAAGATCGAGAAGATTCCTGCCCAGCTCTTCTTCTGCAGGAAGCTGCGTTACCTGGACCTCAGCCACAACAACCTGACCAGCATCCCTGCAGACATCGGCTTCCTGCAGAACCTGCAGTACTTTGCGGTGACAGCCAACAGAGTGAGTTGAGCATAAATGTGCAGACTTGCACCTCACCTTCCTGTGAGATTCCCTCAGACACTGCTATCTGAGTTCCCTGTAAATCTGCAGATGCACTATATGTGTACAGATAGATGATGTATATGGTACATTTCCAGGGTTATTCCTAATAAACTAATTTAATTGAAAAGTAGGAACCATTCAAAAGTTTCGAGTCTGTAAGATTTAATAATAATATAAAAATAATAATAATAATAAATCATTTTATTCAGCAAATACACATTAAATTGCTCAAAAGTGACAATAAACAAACTTATAAGGTTACAAAAAAAAATAATTTAAAATAAATGCTGTACTTCAGCTATTACATATACTGTATATGTAATATTCTAAAATATTGTGTGTGTGTGTGTGTACGTACAGAATTAATATAAATTATATATAATACACACAATATTTGAAAACTAAAACACACATATGTGTGTGTGTGCATTTAATTTATATTTAATTTATTTTGTGTATATAAAATAAATATTTCTATATATATATACATTACTATATATATATTACTATATAATATGTATTATAATAATAAAAATGTATTTTTTTCCTGATGCTTTAAAGTCAATACAAGTTCTTTAAAACTTCAGTATGTTCATGGTCTTATTGTGAATGATTCATAAGTGCATATTATACCAAAGAAAAAATGCTTTCATAATCTTTTATGTACTAACTTGCTCACTAATCTAAATCTAAATTCATCTAAATTAACTTTTTTAGTTGGCGTCAGACATTGATTAACATCATTCATTAGCAAAATAGCCATTTAGTCATTGTTTTTGCTTACTGTTGCAGGCAACGCATCCTTCCTAAAATTATTGCAACACAGCCATCTAATGCCAGTTAACGCTAATTAAATTACAATTACAGCAATCATAGCAAATATTTTTGAGGTTTGTAATATAAAATAGCGTGTCTGTGGTGTTTGAGGACGGGAATCCTCTGAAAACTCACAGTGCCAGTGTGACAATGTATCAGAAAGGCGGCTCCAGTTGTGCTTTCGGAAATCCTGTTTGCTGCATTAAAGCCTGATTTCTCAGCAGCTCCAGTCTTTCCACACCCCCGAATCACGTCTTACGCATACCTATCCGTCAGACGCCCATCAGAGCTGTCTCTGGGGCGTAAGCGGCATTAAACGGCACCATTGTTTTGTTCAATCTGGATTTTTGGATGCGAGTCAACAGTCAGGGAAACATACAGACATAAAGTCCAGGAACATTATGGTGCAACACACACAACCTGTGTCTCTCATGTGTTTTGAGTTTGATGGGCACTTGTGCTTGTTTTTAGTAATGGGCGTGTTGGAGAGCGTGTGTGGCATGTTTCTGAAAATAGCGCCTTTATGGGACCTCCTGTCGAGGAGTGTGTGCACTTACACACACACACACACACACACACACACACACACACACACACACACGTCCCACACAACCTGTGTCTCTCATGTGTTTTGAGTTTGATGGGCACTTGTGCTTGTTTTTAGTAATGGGCGTGTTGGAGAGCGTGTGTGGCATGTTTCTGAAAATAGCGCCTTTATGGGACCTCCTGTCGAGGAGTGTGTGCACTTACACACACACACACACACACACACACAACCGTCCCGGTTCTTTCATTAGCTCGTTGATATCTAAATGAGTTGTGTAATTTGTGTTATTTGTTGAGAATCAAGGCGGATGGTAACTAGATGCACATGTTTGATTTTTAGAGAGAGAGAGTGTGTGTGTGTGTGTGTGTGTGTGCCAAAATTAGCCACTTACTCTGGAGATAATTGGTTTTCCTGTGTATAATATGTTTTCTGGGTCTCCGCCCTGCCGAGCGAGTGGCTTTAAATGGGGCACGTCGTTTATTATGAATAGATCATGTTACACGACTCTCTGAAATACTTGATTCTGATTGGTCAGTCGTGGCATTCTGCGGTCAAATATTGTCGCATAATGGCGGTTAAACTGGATAACTGAAGCTATTGCCTGCGTGGCTCTGCTGGTTTTGGGTTTCTCATATCAATCAGCAAAATAAACCCTGAGCAAGACACCTGATCCCCTGACTGATCGCTGACTGTACATTACCGTTACATACTGCACAAAACACACAGATTGAATGAGCTGAAATCAGATGAACACTTATTTTTCATTATTTACTCCATTAACAAAAATAACTGAAAATAGTTTATTAGCTACTGAAATAAAACCAAAATTGCAATATGACTAAGTATGATTTATCAAACGGCAAAGGTTGCAATTTAATTAAATATGTTTTATATTTTTATTTAGGTAAGTTAATATTTTTAGTTACTACTAATAATTAATTAATTGTTGTTGTTATTATTATTGTTATAGTCACATTGATATTGATATAAACCAGGGTTATTATAGTTAACTGAAACTAAAGCTAAAACCGTAAAAACACATTTTTCTCACTTCAAATACAATAAACTTCAACTGAAAAAAAAATCAATTAAAAAAATTAACTTATTTTATTTCAGCTAAAAATAACTGAAAAATAACTAAATCTAAAATAAAAAAAATAAACTGTATATAGGCATTAAAAAAAAAAGAATAAAAATAAAAACGTGTTCAAATTATGCTAAAATAGCATTGCTACAAATACAATAAACCACACTTTAAGTTGCATTTGCAGTTTTTACAAACTACATATTTTAATTTTAACTACATTTTCATAAAAGTTATGTACAATAAAGTGTTTATCTTATTTTCTGTCAATAGATTACATTTTACACACTACATTTTACTATTTTTATAAACTCCATATTTTCTTGTGAAAACTGAAAAAAATATTGTGTAATAGCCTTTTATTGCAGAAAACTAATGTTCTTCAAAAACACACAGAGACCTGTGCATTATACATAATAAAGGGAGTATTTTGTTTTATTGTATATATGTATTTATTTATTTATTGTGGTTTTAATTAAAGCTACATGCAATAACGTGTTTGTTTTTTATTTTCTGTCATTAGATTACATTTTACACACTGATGAAAGAGAATCATATCGCAGCGCTTGTGTGTGAACCGTGTTTTGCTCCGTTTCAGATCGAGGCGCTGCCACCCGAGTTGTTCCAGTGTAAGAAGCTGCGGACGCTGAATCTGGGAAATAACTGCCTTACGGTGCTGCCGTCACGTTTCGGAGAGTTAACCGGCCTCATGCAGCTGGAGCTCCGCGGAAACCGGCTGGAGGGATTACCGGTGGAGCTCTCCGAATGCCGCCTTCTCAAGCGCTCCGGGCTGATCGTAGAAGAGGACCTCTTCAACACCCTGCCGCCAGAGGTCAAGGAGCAGCTGTGGAGAACCGATAAAGAACAAGCCTGAGCGAGACAGAGGAACTCTTAAAGGCATAGTCCACCCAAAAATTAACATTTGCTGAAAATCTACTCCCCCTCAGGCCATCCAAGATGTAGATGGGTTTGTTTCTTCATCAGATTTATAGAAATGTAGCATAACATCACTTGCTCACCAATGGATCCTCTGCAGTGAATGGGTGCCGTCAGAATGAGAGTCCAAACAGCTGATAAAAACATCACAATAATCCACACCACTCCAGTCCATCAGTTAACTTAATACATTTTTGCTTGTAAACAGTGCTTGATCTGTGCACATTTCTCTCCTAATTCAGACGAGATGATGTTTTCACTAGAGAAAGCAATATTATGGATTATGGACTTCTGGACGCTTCTCAAGACGTTAACTGATGGACTGGAGTGGTGTGGATTACTTGTGGATTATTGTGATGTTTTTATCAGCTGTTTGGACTCTCATTCTGACGGCACCCATTCACTGCAGAGGATCCATTGGTGAGCAAGTGATGCAATGCTACATTTCTCCAAATCTGATGAAGAAACAAACTCATCTACATCTTTGATATGCCGACGCTATCAATTCATTTTTTTTTTAATAATTTTTAATTCTTTTAATTTGGGCGATAACGTTTCTTCTCCGTATGAAGGGAAGTTGTGGACAGTACAGTGCCATCTGTGCTTAGAAACGTATACTGATACACTCACTCAAACACGTTCTCATACACAAACACACTTTTTGCAAGGTCAAGTCATTTGTGTACTGCCCCCTACAGGCACGGAGGGGCATGCATATAAACGATGACTACATGGTGAACATGTGGATGCGAGTGCCTATGTTAAAGCAGTGGCATTATGGGAATGAATAGATATAACAAGCAATATGTGGTTTGTGCATTATTTACTTAGCGGCTGCGTCCAATCAGGGAAGAGTCGACTGTTTATGAATGTGCCAGCTGAGTTATTAAATACGTAAATTGTACATTTTAGAGCCAATACCCACCGAATTAAATGCCAAAAAGGTGATATACAAAATCTACTACTTATATATGCTTTTAAAGACTATGAATATGATGCCACAAATGTCTTGCTGAAATCTTACACTCCACAGACTCTACACAAAGATATAGAAACTATGAACTCAAACACTCGAAAGAACAAACTTTTACCGTTTTGGACGGACTCCCATTTGGACCATGTGACCTGCACGCCGCATCCCATTGGTCAACTTCTCAAGGGGAGTGTTGACATCATAATGACTCTTGTTCCCACACTATCATGGCCTTAACTCTCTCTGAGCTGTATGCTGGAGCTCATCTCAAAGATAGTGTACATTTTGTGTTTATAAGTTTTATAATTTTACAAAAAAAAAAAAGGGAAAGAACAAAAAGAAAGCACGGACTCATGCAAACTGTTCATGTGTTTGCAAGAAAAACAAACCTATGCGTTAATGTATCTTTTTTATATGTACTGTATGTGTTCATATGATTTTATTTTCTGATTTTTATTTGAACTTTTCTTTTTGTTCGGAAGATTGCCTAATGTACACAGTATGGCTTTAAACAAAACCAAGTAAAGACTTCTGATGAACATTCAAATGTGTTTTCATATTTTTCACAGAAATGGGTCATTATTTTTAAGCATCTGCTACAGTTGGTTTTGCATAACACAAGGTTAATTCAGAAATTATTGGGCTAGATGATGCAAATATAAAAGTAAACAATATAAAACATTGAAAAAGGGAAACTTCTAAATCATGTGGTCCAAAAATGATAACCCATTTAAAGGAATAGTTCACCCCCATCACTTTTTGGCCGAAATATCTATAATAATGTTTCATCCAGTAAAAAAAAATCTCCTGTTGTTTCTCACTTCAAAATCCATCCACATATTTGTTTAGAACTGTTTTGGACTGTTTTCACTTATAAACAGTGCTTGGTCTGTCCATATTTCTCTCCTGATTCAGACAAACTTTTTCACTGCAGAAAGCAATATTATGGACTTGTAATTTACCCAGAAGCAACATTTTAATGTTAAAATGTCTTGATGGATTTATTTCTTACAAACACGCCGTTTTTGCTTCACATGATGTTATTTGATGGACTGGAGTGGTGTGAATTATTGAGATGTTTTTATCAGCTGTTTAGACTCTGACGGCACCCATTCACTGCAGAGGATCCATTGTTGAGCAAGTGATGCAATGCTACATTTCTCCAAATCTGATGAGGATGCAAACTCATCTACATCTTGGATGGCCTGAGGGTGAGTGAATTTTCAGCAAATTTTAAATTTCGGCTGAACCATTCCTTTAAAATGTAGTGGTGTGTGTGTGTCTGTCTGTGTGCAAACTGGCAGATATTCTGATGAAACACTCACTTTTTAAAGTAGTTTTATTAATAAAATGTATATAGCGTTATGCACTAATTACTATCAAATTGATCAAATAATGTGACAAAGTTCAAAACCTTATTCATAACATTAAGTCATAGCCACGCTTGGCATTGTTTTCTGAAAAGACCAGTAGACACTGACCCATAAGTTCTTAAGTACCACATCTCTCAACAGCACACACACACCTTGTGTCAGTGAACACTGGGCCTTTCTGTTTTCTGTGAGTAAGCAGAGGGGAGTACAAGCGCCATGCCACATAAAAGCTCCCATTCACTCTCTCTCTCTGTTAGTGAAGTCATGGTCACTTCCAATTAAACCAAAATAAAAACTCTAAGTTAGTATGCACTTGAAACTTCTTCTTCAAACACTGTATGAAAGCTAGTCTGAATGGTGCACGGCCATCACAAACTTACAATGACAAGATGTTAATTAAACTTACAATGACAAGATGTTAATGGAGAACACTGTCTCGTTAATTGGAATTCTGTTCATTTCTGTCTCAAATCTGGGCTAGAATTAGAGAATAGTTTAGTATTCGTCGAATATGAGGGCCAGGAACTGTTACTGTATGGCTGTCTAAAGTAGTTTTTTCCCCCAACTGATTTGAGATCGGATTTGTGTTTGTTAAATGATTAAAACACCCAGACGACTAAGTAATCATCTCTGTTAGCTTTCGCTTCCTACATATTCTTTGTGGTAAAGCAGAAGGTACAAAAACAACAGTGCTGAGAAAAAGCAGAAGCGTCCTTCATGTTGTCTGACACAGGCGCCCTCTCCAGGTAAAGAGACAATATGTACCATCCAAAAACCACCATAAAAGTACTACTACTTCATTTCTATAGATGTAGGCCCTGCAACATTTTCTCTCATTCTGAAAAAGCACTTATTCATCAAAAATCTTGAAGTTGAACATGAGAACTGGATCAGTGCGAGCAAGTGAACATGCAGTGGTCATGTTGCATTGAGCTGTATGAACTTTCCTTCAAAAAGTATAGTGGCTAGGTAGTGGCAGATTTGATAACTGAGGTGATTATTACTTTTAAATCAAAATATGCATGGACTTAAAGGGATAGCTCACCCCAAAATGAAACGTGCAAACCTCTGTGGATTTTAGGAGAAGATATTTTGAAGGAAAAAAGTGACTTATTTACAATCGAGTCAACCTATATCAATTTTACAATTTTACATTTGACCCATACAATTGATTTTTGTTGTCAAATGACACAAAGAGGTATTACATAGTCACATTATTAACAATAATAGCTGCCAGAAAAGTTGCATAAATTTAAGTGCTTTTAAAATATTACTTGTATTCAGTAATTTTTTTGTTTGTTAGTTCCAAAAGGTTTATGTATAATTTAATGTCCTTTAAGAAATGCAAGAAATGTAGTTTGCAAACGCCAACTTTTTGTGTATAGTATTTTTCTAATAAAATAAATAATTAGTGCAATGTCCCCCCCCCATATAATGAAAGTCAATGTTTTTTATATCTTCTTTTGTGTTCCACAGAAGAAAGAAGGTGAGTGTGAGTAAATAATGACAGAAGTATTATTTTTTTGCGTGAGCTATTCCTTTAAATACCAGCTGAAAACACTTGAATCTTTCTCATGCCTCTGTGTGAAGATCAAAATATTGATTCATAAATGAAGTTTGCACAGACTGTATTAGTTCATTAATGTTTTATAATGCACTGAAGCACAGTATTAATGATTGCAGCATTCATGTAGATAATACATTTTGATGATTTATAAAAATGAATTAAGACTGAATCCAGCTACATTTTTCAAAGCTTGAATCTGTTTTGTGAAGTATCTTCATTACATGCAATCTTGCACGTAATACTCTTACTCTTATACTGGAATTAAGTTAACTGTAGGCACGTTTTTACCTTTTAGGTTCACCTGAACCCTCAGTCAGTTATGACTGCACATTTGAGTTTCTTGCACTGTCATGAAAGAGTTACTGTTCAAAATCCAATTATTGCATCACCATGGTTACAGTTTAATCGTATTTGACATGGGGCAACCACGTGGTTGCTGAGAGAGATTTGGATGGGACAGCCTTCCTTTTAGCCTTCTTCTCAGACTGTCGTCATCAGCATGGATATTTTGACCGATCAAGACGTGCAAAAGGTAATAAACTGCATCTAAATTGAAATCGCAACTCTTAAATACGACAGCTGTTGTGTTTTTATGCAAATGCTCGTTAGAAACGCTGGAAAACGCAGATTTACGAGTACAAGACTTTTCAATGCTGTTGGATGACAATCAGTGTTCTGCTTGTTTAATAATACATATTTTCATAGATCAGCGCCTCGTGCAAAAGATGCACGAAATTAAAATATTATATATATATTGGTGAAAGCACGTGTGGAATAAGTTTTATCCTAATTTGAAGTGTGTTGCGTAATACGCTAGAAACAGGGCAAGCTGCTAGAATGGAATGTGGAATGAAATAAGGGGCGTGAAAATGGGCGGGGCCTGCAGACAAGGCTTTAAAGTAATAATTTCATATTTTAACTGTTCAGTTTGTAGTTTTCAGTTTAACAGCTATTATTAGTAGTAGTAGTAGTAGTAGCATTATTCAGTTTCTTTATTAATATTATTAATGTCCCGACGCGTAGACTTGTGTGTCCTATGAAAATTATTAACGTTACTTTTCTTAGCGCTGTTGATGATAGACCAATCACAGCCTTTTTGTTTACCTGTATAATG